ATAGGACGAAACTCATGTCCTGGATTTTCAACCCTGGTCACTATCCATCTTTATTTGTAATGAAAAATAAGATAAAAGTAAAACCACATTAGTCACTCAATTAGATTGAAATTGTTTTCTTTTTTTTGTTTGATGAAATACCATTTCACTGATTCAGGTAATTCCGTTGTAAACCGCCATACAGGAATACCATAGATACAAATGAAATACTAACAATATAAAATATAGGAAAATTAATGTAACATTCCTTCTTTTTTTTAAAAAATGGTTCACTATAAACGTCCCCTTGTTGTTGTTGCTGTCGTTGTTGTTGTTCTTGTTGTTGGTGGTGGTGGTGGTGGCGGTGGTGATGGTTCTTATGCTGGTGGTTGTGGTGGTAGTGGTGGTGGTGTTGGGGTTGGGGTGTTGATTAAAACAAAACGATTTGCATAATCCAAATTTATTGATCATTCTGTTTTTAAAACTTCTCTTCTTTTTCCATTATCAAAAGTTATGAAGAATCATAAATTATCTAGAATATAAGTTTTACAGGGTTTTATTTAGGAGACTTTGGAAAGATGTTTTGGACTAGTTAGAAAATCATCATATGAGACAATGTTTAGTGGCTAGAAGATTTGACTTTAATTGGATTGTATGAATGATTGTTATGGAAGTATACATGTAGCCAAATCTCGTATATATAATCATTGATATAAATTGAGTTAGTGAACGATAGGCAATCAGGAAGATGAAATAAAGAAAGAAGAGTGATTCACAATTGATTGATCACTGGGTGATGATCAATGTCATATGTGTGTCAAATCCTTCTTAGTACAGATTGAATGCTATCAACCAAGTTGCAATGTAGTCACTAGTCTAGGTGACTCGATATTGCATGCAATATGTTGAGATAAGATGGTGATTGGAGGTAGTCAACAGGAAACAATGGACCTGGGTTTCGTGCTACTTGGCACTCGTCAGCAATGTGTACCCGTAATGTTGAGGGAACTGGTGCTCCGTGACAGATTCGATCCCGTGTCACTCAAATTCACTGGGTCGATAGTATTCGATCTGCACGAAGAAGGACCTGACACACATGGCGTTGATCACCACTTAGTGATCAATCAATTGTGATTACATCTCAGTCCTATAGGAGGTCGGTCCTGGTCCGATTAGCCCAGTGGTAACATCTCTAATTGTGAAGCTGAGTGACACGGGATCGAATCCTTCAAGGAGCATCGGTTCTCTTAAGATTACAGGTACACCTGACTGACGACTGCCAAATATCACGAAACACTAGTCCAGGGTTTTCTGTTGAATACCTCCAACCACCATCTTACCTCAAAAAATAAATCGCAGACACGTATTGAATAGAGTAAGTAAATAGCACATATATGATCATATAAAAACAGTCAAGATTGATAAGCGAATAATTAACAAGGTCAAAATGTAAATCAACTGGAATGAATAAATTGACTTGTCTGGAAGCTAGAATAAGTTATGTTGGTTCAATATGGCAACCGACACTACATACGTTTGATATACGACATTACAAAAATAATGCTTAAGATTGATGAGAATTTTTTGGTTGAAAATCGTCATATAAAGTAGATTGTAAAAATCTCAATAGTTGAGACCATGAGTCAATTGAAGCTAGACCACCATGGAAAACCTGGAAGCACTGAACGGCCAACTTTTTCTGTTATGGGACTCCTCAACAGTGCGCATCCACGACCTCGCCCCCTGCGAGGTTCGAACACAGGACCTACTGGTTTCGCACACGAGCACTTAACCACTAGACCACTAAACCGGAATCTAATGGTATTATTATCTAACTTCAACGGATCCACGAAATTGAGCGACACATCCACCATTGTCATCAGTGAGTTACTATCTCACAACAGACCTGGTTGAACACCACTGGTCACTGCTTCTCACTAGAACTTCAGGATATACCTCTTGAATCCAGTCACTAGTGAGCATATGTTGATGGATGCGCACTGCTAAGGAGTCCCACAATAGGACGAAACGGCCGTCTAGTGCTTCTAGGTTTTCCATGGTGGTCTAGCTTCAATTAACCCATAATCTCAACTATTAAAATTACTACAACCTCCTCAAAACCCCTTCTGATAGATTGTAAAAATATAATTACTAAGAGTCATAATTGAAAATAAATAAATGATCTTATTAATTGATTGAATACAATCGAGTATCAAACGTTCATCGATGTAAGTTTCGTACTGGTTGACAATCATCAACAAAGCGAACCTGTAATCTTGAAAGAATTTATTCTTACTGTCAGATTCTAACATGTTTCATTGAGTTTCACACTTATAGCTATTATAATTGAGTTATTTGAACAATGATTGAGCTTAGTATCAGTATCCTAAATTTCGGTGAATTGTATCAACTAATGTGAAGTCTAGGTTCAGAGTTTTCTTCCAATAACTAAGATCAAAATAACCAATGGATAGATTAAACAAAGATTCTATTGTAGGCGAAATGAATTTGTTTTAGATTGAGATCTTGAATCGATTGATGTTGGATCATCATTGAAAACTTGGAAGCATTAGACAGAGTCCCACAGTAGGACGAAACAGTCGTCTAGGACTTCCAGGTGTTCAATGGTAGTCTAACATCAATCGGTTCAAGATCTCAATCAATAGCTTAATAATCTCCACAACCCTATACTGACAATTGTTTTTATCACTAAAAGTGAAGTATAATTTGATTAGATCTGAAACGCTTAATGGATATAGCCCCCACGTCAAGTCGAATGAAAACAGTTTACACCATAATAATATCCATTGTATTTTAATTCAGTTTCAGCTTACGATAAGCTTTCCAATAAGATGAACATATTTTATCTAGTATATCTTGGTTGTCTTGCTTTCTACAAATATATTTATTCAATAATTGAATTCATGAGTCAGTTGAAGTTAGACTACTGTGGAAAACCTAGAAGCACTGGACTCCTCAGCAGTGCGCACCCCATGATCTCGCCCCGCGAGATTCGGACACTTGACCTTATGAGATTTTTGTAATATCTAAGAACAGAACTTTTAATACATATTATAAGTACAAATCATTTCAGGTAGATGGTAAATATGCATAGGAGTTTGAACGTTCGCCTGAGGCACCTAAACTTCTGGTTTCGAGTCCCGTAGGGCGGAATCATGGACGTGCACCACTGAAGAGTCCCATACTAAGATGAAACAGCTATCCAATGTTTTCAAGATTTCCATAGTGGTCTAGCTCTAGTCGATTCATGAATTCATCTATTAAAAATTATTACAATCTCAACAAAACCCCATTCTTATCGAGTTTATTCATTTTATCGTCACACATACACACACGCAAAGCAAGTAATATTGATTTAAGATGAATATTTTTGTGTATGACTGTATTTGTTACCATGTGTAAGTGTATATATGTATGTATGTAGGTATGTATGTAACTATGAGGAAGAGAGAGATAGAGGGAGGTTGCAAATGGTATTGTTTGAAGCATGTAGCACGATTTTGAAAAGATGGCATGTAATGTGATTTTCCCTAAAAGTGACATTCTTTCCTTCTTTCTTTCTTTCTTTCTTTCTTTCTTCCTTTCTTTCTTAATAGATAGTCTATAAGTGTTTTTGTTTGTTCATTAGAATAATTGAAAGTTGAAAAATTATTTTAAAAGTTTAACTTGCATGACTTAATTGATAGTTGTGTTACCTTCTATTGTATTGAATCGTCATTAAGAATTCATTATGATTCAATGAAAACGCGTCCTTGGTCCGATCCATAACTCACTACTCTCTAATTGGCGGTATCATCACGTTATACATTAGCAGGGCATTCAAGTCACAAGTTATAACAGTACTAACGATCCTGCACATGGGATTTGAACGTATGACGTTAGGTTTTGTGTGCAAACGCTTAATATCTAGACCAATGAGCTAGTATTCAATGATGTTCATGGCTACATTCAATTAATCCATGAAATTGTGTGATCATTTTCTATTGTACTGAGGTAGATATCTGTCTTTATTTGACATGAATTAACTCCATTTTATCAGCCTCTGATCATTCTATTGTGACATTATGAATTGTTCTTTTGATAGTATTCATGAATAATCTGATCCGTCTTTGTTAGTGTATAAGCTAATTGAACAGAGATTTATTTATTATGTATTAGCTGATCTATTTCAAAGATTCATTGTAGACCGGGGGGGGGAATATTCACTCAGGATTGGAGTCAATTCGTCTGAAATGAGAAATAACCAAAGTTTTTCATCTAATTGAATCCTTTGTTTCACTTTCAATTGTTATTATAATTCATTTAATCTTCATTCTTCTTAATTATCATAATTAGTATTTTGGAAGCCTAACAATGATCTCATTAAAGTGAAAAAGTTTCTTATTCATTACTAATAACTAGTTAGCCCCCAAATGCTCTGGTACGATCAAGTGTGAGGAGAGTCAGCTCTCCCTCTCTCTCTCTCTCCCTTGAAATGCTCTCACATAGCCACACGTATATAACCTCTGTCAGGGAAGTCCTACTCACTGCCTTCTCGTGGCAACGGTTTTGTTTACAAAATTGCGAAAACGAAGAGCGAATGTCCGGTACTCGAACCGGGTTGGTGGACACGGAGAGTCTATCTAAGGGAGTGGGAAAACACTGATTTCAAATCAATGATGCACATGGGCTCAAGAGTCCTGAAGGAACAAATGGCGTATCAACCGTTTTTTAGTCATCGGCTACTATCGAACTGTATCTTCTGACATTGCTACACTGCCTTGTGGATCAGATCTTTAGGTCAAACGCTCTAGATGTGGCTTCCTAAGAAAACCACGTGTTTCGGTCTGAATATCTTAACAGTAATATAGCCCACACACAAATCAAGTGACTTATGTAGCGCATATATATATATATATATTCGATACCCCTTTGTATCAATATCTATGTGTTCCGATAAAAATAATAAATACTTTAAAACAAGATAAGTGTATTATTTCATTTTTCTTTGTCCATTTCAGAACTCAATTATCTCAATTTAGTTACATTATCAAAGGATCTATTAAAACAGGTAAGATTTGTATGATTCAATTATTCGATTTGACATATTTAATCAATAATATTTATATTAAGCGCTTTATTTCATTATAATCTAAAGATGTTTTTCCAGTTTGTACAATAGAAACATCTTGATGTAAGATAATGGGTTAGAAGTAATTCACAGGAAATCTTGTAACCAAGTTTTGTACTATTTAACACTCAAGTTGTATCTGTAATCTTGAGAGGACTGATACTTCATGACAGATTCCATTTCATGTTACCCAGTCTCACAATTAAACATGTTACCAATCTATGATTGACCTCCTATAGGATTGAGATATAATCACAATTCATTAATCACTAGGTAGTGATGTATTAATATTTTGTTATAAAATTTAAAAATATCATAAATACACATCTTATGTTATTTCATTATGTAAAATGAACTGAATCAATTATGTTTCATACTTCATTTTTAGTTCATTACAATACTATTCACTTCATTAATAATTCAATATAAATGCATGCTTGACAATAATAACACATAAACTTAGGTGGGGGTGGGGGTGGGTGGGAGTGGGGGTGGGGGGATAGGGGTAGGGTAAACTCATAAAAACGATTTCATTTATAAGAAAATAGTTGACATCTTTTTCTCACTTATTAAATATGAATAACTGTTATTATAACCTATTCATGGATCAATTATTCTTTATATAATATGAACTTATAATGTTAATTATTAATATTCTTTATTAATCTATTCATATGATAAACTTTTCGATTGATTATAGAAGAAGATCATGTTTTATTGATCGTTCTTATAATCAATAGTTAATTCGTGACGTCACCTAGGCTAGATCATCATTGAAAACGTGGAAAAACTGAATGACCATTTCATTCTAGTATGGGACTCTTCAATAATGCACATCCAAGATCCCACACATGGGATTCGAACCGAAGACCTTAGGTCTGTCATATGGATGCTTAACATCTAGACCATAGAACCGGAATCCAACAGCGTTAATGTTGAACTTTTATCAATCCATAAATAGCTGAGTAACCATTCATTGATTGTTTAAGATAGATACCTGTCTCTAATCGATACGGATTGAACTTCATTGATCACGGTTTCTTAGTAGAATTTCAGGAAACCATATTGTTATATAATATTTTAAATTTGTATATTTGAAACTCTATTTATCTAAATGGATGAATGAACTTCAGCGCCAAAATCAACAACCCGTTATCTTATACGTGATTGGCTCGACTACACATTTAATTATTTACACTATCTCTTTGTCTTACTAAGTAGATAGTAGGTTTACACAACTAAACCGGACATCTATAACTTACATTTTATATAAATAACAAGTTTTCATATTGTAAATTTGAATTGATCGGTATTCTTAAACTTCATAGATAGTTCTTCTTGATAACCGTTACTAGATAACGTCCTAACGGTGTATAAATCAGAAGACAAGTACGAAGTGTTGATAACATTTATTATTGCACGACGCACAGATCATCAAAACTACAGACACGTCAAACAACAATGAAAAGTTAATACTGAAGAGTAGGCGAGCAAGTGAGCGTGCGACTCGAATGAGCGAGTCAATGAACAAGATTAAAATATACATATACATATATATATACATAGTGAAATGAATAAATCATCGAATCAATGAAGCGACTAACATTAAGGCTAGTAGAATGAATGGTATTCATAGACAGTAAGCAATGCTCAAGCATACATATTCTCGTACAAGTGCAACAATAATAATAAAGGTACAATGGTATAGATAAATCGTTATTGTAACAATGACTCTGCCTGTTAAATAAGTGAACAAAAGGATTTAACCAGATTAAATGTGAACAAACAATCCACTTCTAACATCTGTTCCTAATTTCCTCTTCAGTTCGAAGCTGGCTAGTTCTCCGTAAAGTAGAAGTAACTGTCTTGATGTTCATATTGAAGATTGTGACTTGAATATTGGCTTGTAGACAGATGCTTTGAGTTTTGTATATTCTTAAATTGTACGATCACTTATATAATAAAAGGGACTAATCATATCAAGTCCAGAATATCAACAACTTGAAAAGAAAACAATAATCACTAACAATATTCGTTACATTTAAAAGACTGGAAACAATGTTAAAGTGTCGATGTGTTAATCAACATTAAAAGGCAGTTCTACTCTGTTAAGGATCATCAGTTCCTTCAAGATTATACGTACACCTTGATGGTAAGTGACAAATATCATGAAACCTAGTGTTATATCCCGATGAGAATAATGAATGTTAACAGTTGGGATCTATTGTTTAATTGTTAACCAACTTAACTATTCCTATTCATCTTCCTCTTATCATGAGCCTTATTTTGACCTATGAACTATTATTATACGATTTACCATTCTTGAGTTATGCCCTGTCTATTAATTACTATCTCCCTCATTCACAGCCACATTTGGCTGAATCTTGTACAAATGTTGTTGGTACGATGTGGTCTCTCTGGTTGGTATATAAACGCAGTATGTTTGAAATACATGATTCATATTGCAGAGGCGGAGATTGGTGTTCTGGACGTAATTGACTGGGCTAAGCAGGAAGCAGGACCAATTAGGAGTCTAGACTGTTTGTATAGTTTTATACGTCATTGGTTCGGTTGATAATTCACTGTTCTCTAATTCGTGATATCACTACCTTATACAATGATAGGGGCACAAACTCTCAAGTTAGATCAATAGTTTGTTGTCGGCTACCTCGAAAACATCGCCTTATAAATCCATCATCTTTGAATTTAATAGTAAACTCAATATTATCCAATGTCTATGTTATATCTAGGGCTTATATTTTTGATATGCCACGTATAACTTGAGCACTTGAACACTAGAACCCTCTGAAGTCTCAAATGAGAAAACAGAAGACAAGCGAAAGGAATGTTGTTCCAGACAGTGTCAATTATAGTAAAAAACTGTCAGGTGTTTATAGTTTATAATTAAAAGCGACATCATGATTATAGCTATCCAATTCTCACACGGTGGGTTATTAGCATTTTCCAATCAGGAAGCTACACGTAGAGATTCTAGAATATTCTTCCAGAAGGTGATTGAATGGAATATCTTCAGCTCTTTTTGAATTTCTTACAACTTCCTCGAGTTCACCCGTGGACCATCCTCACAATCTAATAGTTCAATCATTTTACATTTTTTTAAAATCAAATTTATAATTCAATCTTTATTATAGATTCAATCAGTCAGTCTGCTACAACGTAGGACCAGGCACATATATGCATCGATCCTAGTTGCCATAGCATTAGCCCGACCGTTGTTGCTACTTTGAAGTGGTGGTCGGGCTTGCCTATCGTGATGAACTAATCGTTCCTCAAGGTCATACCATGTCAGACAGGTTGGTTGAAGAGCGGTAAGATTAAAAGCAACAAATCCAAGGTCCGAAGGCGAATTCGTACTTCTGACTGTGACAGCAGTAAGGTATTTTTTCTTCAGACAACCAGCATAACAGTGATGCTGCCTTCCCACAAAGGAAGAGTTGGGTTAGAAAAGGTCAACCTTAAAAATGCACACCTCGCCTTATCCCACGGATATCCGTCTCCGGTGGTAAGGTCTGAACAAGTACGAAGCTAACACGAAAATTACACATAAAATGGTCTTGCATGACCGACTACAAGCAGCTGTCCCTTGGTCACTGCGGTCATCCTCTCAGGTCACCAAAATCCCCTCTAATCGAATTTCCTTTTCAGGTTCCTCCAGATGAATCCTTCCATGGTATAATCAACCGTGACGTGATAATTGCCCTTATACCTCTAACATCATTCAAGAACATTGTATTGAATTCCTTTATTATAGATTAAAATGACTCACTTAGAACTTCTCAAATTTATTGATTAAGTATATACATAGATATATATATTTTGAAATTCTTCTTGAACTCTTAAATAGAATTACTATACAATTTAATCCGTTCAATTGAATAAGGTGATTAAAAGAGATTTACTTAGCTTATTTTAATTCTATTCAATAATAGTAATAATAATAATAATAATAACTTGAAATCATAAAAAAGAATAAAAAGATTTGTATCTAAAAACAGAAATGATTTTGATGAGGTTTCGTCCTTAGCGAACAAAGCTTCATCAAAACAGTCATAATCTATTTTATTATTCGTTTGAATATACTAAACATAAAGAAGAGAAAATAGAAACCCATTTATCACTATTAATAATAATAATAATAATAATAATAATAATAATAATGCCATTACTATTATTCCCATTACTATTATTATTATTATTACTGTTACTATTATAAGTAGTATTATAGTATGAAATTCCTATGGACTATATATATATATATGTATATCGAATAGGTTAATTAGTAAATATGTTTAGATGAAATGAATGTTTATCTACACTTTAGTTAATTTATTCATTATTTCCTATATGTAAACAATGAAGGAAAAGAAAAGTTATTTATGTTTAGGTTAATTGTTTGGTTGTTTGTTTCTTCCCTGTAAAATAAAGACTCCACCCCGCACACACACACACACACAAACACACAACAACAACACAATAACAAAACTCATTTTATTAACCTTAATAGAACAATAACATAATTAATAATGTAGATTAATAAATAGGGTCAATTATTGAAAGACTATTATACAAGAGAAGAATATATATATATATATATATATATATATATATATATATGTACTTTTTATTTATTTTAATACATAGATAATGATACAAAGGGGCATCGAATATATATGCACCATATAAGTCACTTAGTTTGTGTTTGAGCTGTGAGACTACTCGAGTGGACAGACTGAAGCAAGTGGTTTTCTTAGGGGGGAGGGCCACACCCGAAGCCTTTGACCTAAAGATCTGATCCAAAAGGCAATGGAGCAACTTTAGGAGATGCAGTCACATGGTAGTCGGTAACTAGCACTGGGTTACTAGTATTTGACCACAGATGCCTTAGAAATATTGCGGGTATCTGCTGGGATCACCGGGTA